CTGAGGTGTGTGTGTGATTGGGGGAGAGAGAGAGAAACAAGAGTGAAATAAGAGAGACGTTCACCCAGTTTCACCCAGTAACAACAATTCACACTGAAGCACAGTACCAACAGGTATGCTTCTAATATATATATATATGTGTGTGTGTGTGTGTGTGTGTGTGTGTGTGTATGTGTGTGTGTCAAAGTAAATACATAAATCAGTTGATAGATCTGTTGTTTATACATATGTGTATGCATATGTATTTGTGTGTATGTGTGTGTGCGGGAGAGAGATCTTCTCCTGAGGCTGTTTCTAGACACTGCAGCACCCTGCTCTCCCACACACTCACTCACTCACTCTCTCTCTCTCTCTCTCTCTCTCTCATGCAGACACACACACATACACACACAGAGAGAGAGACATACACACACACACACACACACACAGACATACACACATAGAGCATGACTCCAGAATGGAAAACAACAGGCTGTTGCTGGGCACCGACTGAGATTAAAGAAAAAAAGAAGACAGGAGAGAGGAGAGGAAAAAGTAGAAAACCAGGCTAGCAAGTGTCCTCACAGCATCCCTGAAGCATGACAATAAGGCCTGGAGGCTTTTAGCATGCACTGGATTTGCTAGCATGTTTGGGCCAAGTGACACACGTTGTAGCTAGCTTCATCAGGTGGGTAACTCAGACTGGCTTTAGCTGCAAGTGCTACCTCAAGCTGAACAGCTACTTCCATCAGCATCACCCAGCGTCTGAGGTGTACAGTTAGCCTACACAGCCATCGTAGCCTCCCCGAGGATTAGCCACAGGTGGAGCTGGACCCCTGTCTCAGCTTCTTCCTTTGTTTCCTTGGGAACGGTAACTATGGCAACAGCTTTTCAGGACCTGAAATACACCTGGTACTAGTTGACTAATGTGTTGTTTCCTAAGATCTGGATAGATGTCACTCGGATCTCTTATGATTTTTTTTTTAAGTTAACATGGAGAAACCTGTGTCACATATGAGACAGGTTTCTGATGATGGGAGGGATTTTCTGAGCAGTAACTACCACTTAACCATTTGGATATAAAATAGCTACAGCTAAAACCGATACAGTCCTAATGCATTAAATTGCTACTCAGTTATCTTTGGTCCGTGTGTCCACACAACAAGAGAGTCACCGAGCAACCTCAGCTTGGCTGAAAAAAGGCCCTTCCTAAGTCCCGCCCCTTTTTGCTCTGTGAGCCAATAACAGTTGAACAAACCTCAGTCAGAACCTCGGTCAACTTTCTCCTTTCCTGTACTTAGATATTCCATGTGCCGGGCTCATCTATGTTGAAAAGACTAAATTTGGAAGATGGTTAAAAGATAAAAGCGACACATAATAAGTTAGGTAATGTTAGCAAGGCTACCTAGCTTTAAGATTTTGAATATATGCCTTTTACTTAACAAACGCGCTATAAAACAACACACGTGCAATGTGAAAACTATATGGTTGCAGAAAAACACTAATGTAACCTGAGTAAGGATAGGACAGCAATCAATCAATCGTGTTGCCCGCAGTGTGAAAGCACAGTAAGAAGCTATCATCATAGCAAGCATAAATTACAACTAGAGCCGTATCATTAGCGTCTGCCAGTCACTCTACAGTCAGTGTGTCTGCAGCTAGCCACCATCACAAAAAGTACAATACACAGACATGTCAGCTGACACAGCAACAATTCACTGGCCACACTGGCTATATCACAACTAACCATGCCTTCATAAGACTCTCTCTCTTTCACTTTTTCTTTCTCTCTCTGTCTCTCTCTCTCTCCAGTCAAATGTCAGCCAGTGAATGCCAGCTCTATTAATATTTCAGGACCAATTAAATAAAAGCACACATCATACATGTTTAATGTCCGACTGCTGAGAGAGCCAACTTTGCCCTCCGAACCTCTACAGGTAGGCCAGGCTAGTGATTGATAGCCTTGTATACAAATGCTTTGTTCACTTTTTTTTTTTAACAAATGATATGCTCCTTCTCGTGCCCTGGCTGTGGTCCCTCCACAGACTGACCCAAATCTTATTTTGGGTCCCAGCTCAGCAGGCTCTAGACAGTCTGACCCTGTTGGTACAGTAACCCAGTAACAATGCAGTCATGTATGTTGGGCCATAATAATAGATTTGAACAGTGACTGTACTTGTATATAAGAACTACTAACAATTCATTAGATTAGAAGTATTACAATTTGTAGTATTAACACTTTTAACCTTTTAACTATCAGCTTTGGGTTGTCAACAGTCACAAAGGGACGCTGAATGCAACTATAAGCACTGTAAACCAGACGCCATGCAGCAGATCTATACTGCGGTCTAATCCAGTGGTTCCTAACCGTGTTGGCTCCCCCCCAGCCCTTCCATTAGATCCCTTTCAGATTCTGGTAAGGACCATTTTGAAGAGCTATGTCAGACTCCTGTGTAGATACTGAGGATATAGAAATATAGACGCAAATCACTGCACGGAAAGCAAAGCACCAGCTCAAGAAGAGGAGAATCCAAATAGGCCACAGGAAATATTAAGCATCTGGGGGTGGGCTGGGTGTTTTTCTTAGCTATGCAGCACAGGTTAGTCTTTGCCCATTGAGATTTAAAGCAGCAATCAATAATTTGTTTATGGCACTGGATCACATTACTTTGTGTAATGTGAAAGAGGTCGCTTTACCGACTCTGCCCTCAGGAGTTGATGGAGATCAAACAGAACTCAAAGGAGAGTGAATATTGGACTTACATCCACAAAGTGGCCAGAAGCACAACAGTAAATGAAACAGAACGTCCTGGAAACACAGCATGCATGAGCAGCGCGTGACGGCTGCCTTGCTGAACAGCTGTGGCTTCTCTGATGAAGCGCCGCTGCAGCCACCGCCTGAGACACATGTGAGACTCAGACGGTGGGACTGCTCTAACCTGTTAACATGGTAGATGCTCGATATGTGAACAGGAAACTGCTGGCTAAAAAAATTGCCCTATCAAATTAATTTGATAGGGCATAAAGTGATGTCAGTTTCCGCAGCCCTAAAGTGGCCAACGTATTGCAGGTTCAAACACCTGAAATTAACCAGATGAATCTAGTTCCATGATGTTGTTTTATTAAACATTAAAAAAGACCATCACAATCAAGGAGAACTGTTCAAAACGTGTCTATGTCTACTGTCGGTCCTGTGGCCCTCCACACTGAGGCAGACTTCTCTATACACTTATTAAACATTACAGTAAGTGCATTGTAAAGGTCTTACTGACTCCTGATTTCTAATACTGTATCAGCAGGACGGAAAAGAGATTCAATTGAGAGGAGTGACTGGCTGACTGACAGGTTGATTCACATCACCCAACAAATCTGCCCTCTGTCTCTGTCTGTCTCTAATTCTCTCTTGCCGCTCCCTGGCCCTCTCTGTCTTTCCTTCCTTCCTAATTATCTGCATTAGCTTAATGACTAAGAGCCACTAAGGTCTGTGAGTGGCCTATGTCTAGCTTACTGTTTGTGTGTTATAGAAAGACAAGCATGTGACTTTTTAATGTTTCTCCTCCTTCAGCCTCTGCAGTTCATATAAATTTTGTCAGTGGAGTTATTTAGGCAAAGTCAATTATAATGCTGCAGTGTACGCTGCATTTCCTCCTCAGTCTACCATAAACTGTCTAACACATTTGCCAATACTGATAACAATAAGCCTTGCTGTTTCATTTATTGAGCCTCTTTAGCAGTAATAGTTGGTAATGATGATTGCTATTAAACAGTTTAATGAATTCTGTTCAGACAGATCTTGATTTGTGAAGGCACCACGCAGTATAGTGGAAATTCCTCTGCCTCTACTGCCTCCTGCAGTTTACTAACAGCAACTACATCTAAACTAACCCCACCAGAGGATATGAAAGAGGAAACTGTCTCAATTCTCTTTCCACTCTTGTTGACTTTAATTCTTAAAAATATTATTTATACAGACTCAGAGATTAACAGAGGTTACAAGACAGCAAACCAGATGGTGGGTAAAGGTTATAAGTTAAAGCCCAAAATAAATGATTTCTGATGCGTTTTGATCTGATTCAGTCCGCAGTATAACTGACTGACCATTACATGCAGGTCTACTCCTAGTGTAATCGTCCTAATCACATCCATGTCAGACCATGTATGTGTACAGTCACATCAGACAAACATATCAACAATCACAGCATTAGCATGCTTTGTGTACCATGTGTTAACATGGTCCAGAGAGCCAAAATCACAATATACAAGAGCTTTATTGCTGTAGTTTGGTTCTGGCCTCGGGAGATTAGTGGGGTACAGGACGTCATGGTGAAGTAGATTCATGTTGAATTATTTCGATAACAAAAAAAATTGAGCATGCTGCTGAACCGGTCTCTTAAAGATGCTGCATGTAGCATTTTTTAAATGTCATGTCATACTGAGCAAATCATTGTAATATGCTACAAGGTATTTACTATAAATAAGGACACATTGCAGTATTCCTTCTTACACTTGTTAATAGTGTTGTTTCTCTAAATGAAACCACAGAGCTCCTTTAAGAGGGTATTATTGTCCCTTCACTCCCAGCTGCCTCCCCTCAAGTTGTGTCTGCTTTTCATAAGAACATAAACATGTTGGAAGTTATTTTCCTTCAGTTTTTCATCCCATGCACCATCTGCCACTGAGACCTCTGGCACTTTTGCTCTATTTGCGCATAGGAAGTGTGTCCTTTTAAGGTTGTCTGTCTTATGAACAATTTATTGATGTTAAAATGCTACATGGAACATCTTAAACGTTTATGTGAGGTGTTGAGGCACGATGTCCGTTATTTTAAACCGATGCAACCGCAACAATTCCCACAGATTCAAGAATCTTGGGCATTCGGCAGAACTGTCTCACAAAACACACGAAAAAAAGATAACTGCATGCTCAAATACTTCAGAGATGAAAAAACAACTGCAAACCAACATCATGTCACAAATGAACAAAGCTAGGAATGCATGCGACGGGCTCAGACGCGGGGTTACCTGGTAGTAGGCGTGGCTTTGCGAATAGAGGGAGGAGAAAGGCGGGGCTGGGACTTCATTCAGCCTCTCTCCCTCTGGGTGAGGCCACGCCTCGTCATCAAAGGGAACCTCAGGTGATTCTACCTACGATGTACAGACAGAGCTCAGCATGGTGCAACACACACACACAAACACACGCACACACACACATTTTACAGGTGACTGCCTGACTGTAACACATAGCTATCTATAATATCATTATTTTTTTGTGGATGCTAACTCAGACAAAGCAAAGGCAGAGACAATGCAGCTGCATGAGACAAAACACGTAGTAGACATGTCCATATCTCTTGTCTGTGCAAATAACCAACTATATATTTCGGGTCCCTCTCTCAGGCTTCAGCAGGAGATCACTGACAATCAATGACCATTCATTTACATAACTCAAATATTCAGATAATAATATATTGACCAGTACTGCCTCACAAAGGCAGACCGCAGTAACTACAGTGATGTTGAGAAAATAAGTTTTAAGGCTACTTATCAAGTGTGTAACAGCTATAATAGTTGTAAAATGTTAATTTTATACCTTTATAGGCGACAGATACTGTCTGTGTTGGACAATCCAAAGGTCATCAGAGCTAGGATAGTCAGTGTTTAGCAGGAGTAAATACTCTGGTGCTATAGTTGGATTTATCTATTGCCTTATATGTGGTATAACAAACAATTGCTGAGACATTGGAGCATCACAATATTTCAGTTACAGGAAACAGGTCGGAAAATGTTAGCTTTAGCTAAGGCAAGCTATGACTGCCTTAACCTTAACTAGCCAGAGTGTGTTTTTTGTTTTAATTTCACATTTCGACGGCACAACATTTTTCATACGGTAAAACAGAGGTAAATGTCAGATTACAGTTTTAACTAAATTTTGAGCAAATATTCTGGCCTTGTAGCGCAGAGCAGCTGAAGAGGAAGAAAATACATTTTCACTATACTATTTTTAATAATATATATATATATTACATCACAACACAGGATGTTATGCATGGATTATTTATATAATGTATCGAGAAGTAACACTAATGTGCACTTAAGATAAACTACAGAGACCAACAAGAAGAAAGTTTCAGTGTGTGTAAGTGTGTGTTTCTGTGTGCGCGCAAGAGAGAGAGAGAGAGAGAGAGAAAGGGAAGAGAGAAAGGAAGAGAGAGGAAGAGAAGGGAACATATACATGGGGAGAACAAGGTGGCAGATCCATCTGTCATACAGAAACAAGCCAGATCCAGCACCTGTGATCACACACACACACACACACACACACACACACACACACACACACACACACACACGTTCACACAAACACAGACACACACCATATGGGAAGGAAGAGTTCTCAAAATAACCTGAATACCCAAATATACCAGCAGCAACACACACACACACACACACACACACACACACACACACACACACACACACACACACACACACACACACACACATTCACCTCATCACAGATTTTATAAAGTCAAACAGGTGATGAGCAGCTCAAATGGATCTGTGTGTAAAGGGTGATGATGATGATGATGATGATGATGATGATGTTAGTTGTTGTATGTAGTTTGGGCCGGGATGCTGAGAAGCCATGACCCTGACGCAAGTGGAGATGAATCCAACAAGAGCTACAACCTAAAACTCTTGAGGTGTGTTTCCATTTTTACTGTTCATTCTGGCTGTACAGTAAAAACAGATGACGGATAAAAAGCTTTGATAAAAGTAATTCCATGTATCTGAATAAATAAATGAAATAAGTCTGTAATGTTACAACTTCACAATCCCATCGAGAAAAACACCCATACGGTTCCTAACACACCTTTATTAATATCAACACTGGATTGGAAGTGAAGGGACGGTGGTATCCAACCACAAGGTGGAGCTACACACCAACATTTCCCTCACGGCAGCAACAACATGATCTGCTTCAGTTATGTCCAGCAGACAAACTTTAAACGTGCAGTGACAGACAACTGAGTCAGTGCAGAGACAAAACGAATGACAGTGTATAATGACTTGGATCTGACACACCACTAATACACACACTCCTCAGCTCCGACCGCCTGCAGCGCGCTGAAGGCGGTCGTAACTTAGCCAACATACACACACACACACACACACACACACACACACACACACACACACACACACACACACACTACTGACGACGCAAGAGTTGATTTAATAATACACAAACTGGAAATCACACAGAATTTAGAAAGGATGACGTGGATGTCAGCGGGAGATGATGCAAAGAAGGAATACGGAAAATGACAGTACAGAGACAAGGAGACATGTAAGGAAAAAATGAGAGGAAATCAAAGAAGCAGAGGAATCCTGTGGCATTATAAATCTTATTAATGTCTTTTTAATGTCTGTCACCTGTTTTAAAATCACTGTAAAGCCTTTTGTGGCTTATGGCTTGAAAATACTGTGGTTTTGCTTGACAGAATGACAGAGGAATCCAGAGGAAAACCACTGGGTTAATGGTCCTTTGATCACCTTCTTTACTCCCATGTAATTGATGTGGTAGTAAGTCATTTGCATAATCTTATGTCATTTGAATGGAATATGGTCCTGCTTTTGTTCGATCCCACATATAAAAGACCATAATTATGATCTACCAGACAGCAATAAAACCTACAATTCAAAAACCGGTATATTATGAAAAAAGAGCATCAACAAAAGATAACATGCACATTATGGAGCATAATGAGGTGTGTGTCTGTGTGTGTGTGTGTGTGTGTGTGTGTGTGTGTGTGCGCGTGCACGCAAGTGTGTGTGGTGGGAGCCGTGCGAGTACAGTGATGTAAGCAGTAATCTGCAGACAGATACAGTCCAATCAACCAAAATAAAAAGATTACCAGGCTACGCTGTGCGATTACGAGCGTGTGTGAGAGAGATAGAGGGGAAAAAGAAAGAGAGACAAAGGGAGAGCTAGACAGACACAGACCGAGTGCAGAACAGAGATAGTAATGGGCCTCATTACTAAAAAATGGGACAAGCATTTCGACTGAATCCCTGCATGCACAGTTCTGCAAAAGTATTCTCCTGGTACAAAGAAAGGCTCTGTGCATGGAAGGAAATTTAGGCCAGTATCCTTGACTTCTAAGTACTTTCAAAAAAGGCCTATCTAATTCAGGAGCCATATTGAAACAGGTCCCCCTACTTCTGACTGTATTTGAACTTAAAAACGAGGTGCCTCTGCCACCTTGACCAAAACCACGTAAAGTCAAGAGCTTTTAAAAATAGAAGCTGATGGTATTAAATCTTTATTCTGAATAAATTATTTCACAAAAGACATGAAGTATATCGCTGCTGTTGGCTAAACATTTTTTATTTATTTTTTATCTCTAACATGTCATCTTCTCAGGGACTATGACAAACAGGCTTAATTTAAGCTTGACTGCATTATAAGTTTGCAGTGGGCTTCAAAACAGTTTTTAAAAGCCCAAGGTTCCCAAGGAACTGTATAATCCTTCAATCTAAAGGGAAAGTCTGTGATCAAACAAAAGAGTAGCTCCACACCAGAAAAATAAAAACAGGCAACACTGTCTCTTAGAAATTACGATTATATACTAATTTGCAACGGCAGATACATTTTGAAGCAAACGTAATGCTGCCCAGATTTACATTTTTCAACATAATAAACATTGCTTGTGTAAAGTAAAGAATGATTTTTCACGGTTATGTTCAGGCACTTTATTAAGGTTAGGGAAAGATTGTGGTGTTGGTGCAGTATAGTCATAGGCAACAGTGACTTGAAGGATGAGAAAGGATGTGTTTACTTTATAAATATTTAACCTAAAGCAGAATCTTTTCCCTAACCTTGAACAAAGTGCTTATGTTGTCGAAACATAAGCACACGTGGGATGTGAACCTACAGGCCTGACATTTTCCTCAAAACTGGCTAAACAAATTATTAGTATACAAAAAAGGTTGGACTGGACCATGCACAAATGATTTAAAGAACTCTAACACCAGACAACAAATCAAAAAGTTGTTATATTCTTCTGTTACCGTGAAAAGGTTGCTTACAATATTAATATTTTGTAAACACGGCAGGGAAACTGGGCTGTTGTTTCAATTATGATCATGACAATGTGTCTAAAAGTCTTCAACTATGTATGAATACACCTCAAAATGTATGAGCTCCAAAATGCTACATTGTGCCTCTGAGCAGGTTTCATACAGCAGATATTATCTAGCCACATTTATGAAGCATGTGTCAGCGGCGTTATGTTGACATATGGATTGACAGACAGACAGCTCTTACAGAGTGAGCCCTGAGCCATGTGTGTGTTGCTAAAACAGAGAAAGACAGGTAGACTGTGTTAGTCAGCAGATGTGATGGGGAGCAGATTGACAGCGTCAGTATAATGTGTGAGCCACATGCGCGTTTATCTGTGTGTGTGCGTTGCATGGCAAAAGCCACGGAGACGGACATCCAGAGTAAGTTACCTGAGCAGGCGTGATGTGTGTGTGAGTGACGTATCCATGAACGTGTTGAATCTGAGACAAGTGCCTCTCCGCCACCTGAACCAGCTCCGCACCTCGCAGGTCACTGCGACGACCGAGAGATCCGTCCCTCCCCAGGGATCGTTCCCTTTCCCTCTCCATGGTCCCGGCACCCCCCTCCTTCTCTCCTCCAGGTCCCCCCTTCTCTCCCCTCCCTCCCCTCCCTCCCCTCCCTCCCCTCCCTTCCCAGGGTCCCTCCGTCCCTCAACTCTCTGGCTACTCCCATTGGGTGCTGATGGCAGGGGTGTTGGTGGAGTTTCGGGGCACCTGGTGACGCCCCTTCCTCTTCTTGATACCGATACTTCTATAGTGAGAGAGAGGGAGGAGGAGGAGAGGAAACCGGAGGAAGGCAGACCAAGAAGTGGAAAAAGAGGATAGATATGTTTGGGAAGACGAGGTATAGGAAGGTAGGCAGGAAGGAAGAAAAAAAAAGACAGAAGAAGAGAGAGGTTAGTTGAGAAGATTAAGTAAAGCTGGAAAAAGAAGAAAGGATTAGTGAAAAATTGCAGCCAGAATAAAAGAGCACAGTAGAGTGTGTATGTACATGTATGAGTGTGTGTGCGTGCATGCATGTGTAATGAGATGTTTTTATAGTACAGTTTTTCTGTGTAAGCACATGGGGTAGTCCAGGTGTACACCCAGCATGGTAGTAATTGTTTCCTGAGCTTCCTGTATTGTACATATGCGAACGCACAAACACACACACACACTTAAACACACTCACAGGACTTGAAACAGAAGTTTTTAGGCAAAATGAGACACAAAACTGAATGAGGACAGTGAGCGGGAGACAAGCCTGCCTCAGGGAATTACTGCTTCTTTCTCTCCTCTTCATCTCTCTTTACCTTCATCGTGCCTCTTTCCCTTCCACATCTCCGACTCGCACTACAGTAACGCTCACTGTTTCCTCTCCCTCGTCTCATTCCCCATTCCCACGCACTCTCTCTCGCTTCTCTTCATCTTTTTAAAAAAATCATTTGATGTTAATGTTTTTTTTCTGCTTTACTGGACAGTACAGTGGAGGGAGTTGGTGAAGCTGAGGGCGGGAGGGAGGGAGGGAGGGAGGGAGGGAGGGACAACGGGTCCTTTTGAATCTGTGACATTGTGGTTACATGGTGTGCAACTTAGGCAGCCGAGCAGCTGAGAGGATGGCTCCTGTGTGCACCGAATGCACTCACACTCACTCCTAAGAGGAAGCACACTGATGAGGTGGAAGCAGGTAAAATGCTTTATCCCTCATTAATGTTACCTTTTAAATGTATTCCAATCAGTAGAGGAGCTACTGATAAAGAGAAGCAAATTAGTTTTGGGAGGATTTTTAAAGCTTCGAGACAAAAATGGGGACACCAAGATAACTAATAAAGTGAGGTCACAAAAACACTTTAACCAAATAGAATCTAGTTACTGATTCAGTATATTTCAGGTTTTGGACCCTTTTTATAACCCAAGGTTAAAGGGACACTCAACTCCAAATGCAAGGGTACACGGTGTAAAAATCCCATTTAAAGGATTTGCATGGTAAGAACACACTTGAACACTTACATGGCAAGATACACCAGTTGAGAGGTTATTTACATCACAATGTCTACAAGCCGTGAGATATCAAAATAAGTGTATTGACAAGACAAACAGTAAAGAAATGGACATTTGATACATCAGGGAAACCAAGCATTAACAATAGGGGTGTAAAGAAAATATTGAAAAATATTGTATCGCAGTATTTTGTTTTTGTATCTATTCTCAAAAAGACTACATCGATTTTTGATTTGATTTAAACCCCCTATGCAAGAAAGCAGTGTCGTAAACTGAGGGATATGATGTTTGCTGTAACTTGGGCTTTATGCATATGGTGTTCTGTATACTATGACAGTGTGCCTAAAATTATATAAAATATAAAATAAAATATATAGTAGTATATATCATGATACTTAATGTATCGCCAGATTCTTTCTAATACACAGGATTAGTTATAAAGGCCATAATAGGTCTTAAAATGATCATTTCTTTCTGTTTGGGTTTGCATTAGTTGGTTTCTTCCTGTATTTATTTTGGGTTCCCTGTAGTTTGTCCACAGTATGTGTCTATGAACCTAAACATACATTAATTTCTATCTATCTATATAGTTATATCTATATAACTCATGAATGTAATCCAATATTATATTATACTGTATAACGTAATCTTTATGCTTCGACCTCTGTGATTTAACAGTTTCATGTTGATTTAATAATAGCTTTAGAGGGAGATTTTCATTACATTTTGACAAGCAATAATTACATTACAGTATCACATTTTTTTTCTGTCACATACTGGTCAGTGAATCAAGGAGCAGTATTTGATGTAATGTTACTTTAATGAATTATTTAAGACTTCTGCCATTAATGAGAGATGTACATGAAAGGGGGGGAAGAGGCTGATGAGCTACTTCCTTACAGATGAGAAATGTAAAGCTCAGTGTAAGGAAATGTGTTTTAACCGTAATATTTTTATACACATTTATCCGGTTCATTAGTACAGGTCAGGGTAGTGGAGTTTCCAGCCTACCCTAAGGCTGCAGGTCAAGTTTAGAAATGCAGTATTTCCGGGCTGGGAGAAGGTTTAGGTTGAGTTGTTATATAGAGAGCTGAGACGAAGAAAGCAAGGCTAAATTAAACCCCGCTATCACAGAAACAGCCTGCGGGCTAAGAGAAGAGATAAATTCACCTCCCCTACAGAGAGCCAGACAGTCACACAGTCAGTCCCATTAATATGACATTTGACCTTTTGCTATCTCTCTAGGTAGCCAACAGAAAGCCAGCGTGAGGGTGTATTAATCAAAAACCTATTCTCACACCAATTTGGTGTTTCTAAGTCAATACGAAGTCCTAATAAACTACTAAAACAAATGTGCTTGTGTGATTTATCATCCAGCTCCCTCTGTGTCTCAGTATCAGTAACTACACAGCCCACAGTGTTAATTAAACTTCCTTCCCAAGAGAGAAATGTAGATGTTTTGTTCTCAGACTGTTTAAAAAAACACTCTTATTGGTATTCTTTTTTCTTTTCATGAATTATTAAGTGACAAACCTGTAGTATATGTGATTCAATTGACCAGTTGATTCAAGAAGCGTGATCAATTCATGATGCTTCTCATGCTTTAACATTTCCTGACAGCAGGCTTAGTGGCTTATCAGAACAACATCAATGAAACATTAAAGAACTATCACTACATTTGAGCCTAAACTGCAGCTGTCATCTTGGTCAGCAGCAAGATGCAAAAATCTATTCTAGAAATTGTGTTTTGGGGCAGGGAGTGGGCGGCCGCTTTGCACAGGAGAGCACTTCTGTGCAGAACACTATCAGCTAATTCCTGCAAATTCAAATAGACATGGCTGTGTGCACTCTCCCCCTGCTTCCCCTGCTGCATACTTTAACCTCATTTAGACTGATTGGGAGTAAACACTGCTCTGACAAAATGAACTGATCTGAACCCATCTCATGACCTTCAGCACATTTCATTTGCTCTCCGCCTCTCGCTCTGATCTTTTGATTCACTGTCGACTCGCTAATTAGTCAGAAATGCCTCAAAATAATCCTGAGAGCAGCATTTGAACGGCCAGGCACTAAGACCCTGAAGAGATCCTGGCTCACACTGTTGTCACAACACTGCTGCTACTGCCCTCTGCACTCACACGCACGCGCGTGCACACACACAGACGTAGTCAGCCATAATCCTATATTTGGCGTTTGATTTTCACATGGCACAAGAGCACCTCTGAATGAATTAATGCATGAATGGACAGAGACACCAAATATGTCTGTTTTTACATCACAGTGTGTGTATGTGTGCGTTTCTGCTTGCTCGACTAGCAAGAGCCGAGCACTCCTAATCAGGACTGTGCCTGCAGATAGCCTTCTGAACACTAAACCACACACACACACACACACACACACACACACACACACACACACACACACACACACACATGCACACTGTTGCTGTCATGTGTTACTGTGTCAGCCAGTCTTGCGTAGCCAGAGAAACGTGACTAGATTGGGAGCAGATTCAGCATCCTCGTACATGTCTATGTGTTAGTCCGTATCTGTGTGTGTGTGTGTGTGTGTGTGTGTGTGTGTGTGTGTGTGTGTGTGTCAGAGTAAAGCCAGGCGTTAGTCACGCTTGGTGAGATATGAAAGAGCAGGGGATCCTCTGCCGTAAGGGACTTCTCACACACACACACGTGCCTTCATCTCTATCTCTCTTTCTCTGTATCTTTTCATCCTCTCTTATCCCTCACATCACGCTCTCTCTTGTGCTTTTTTGGCATGAAGTACAAAAGTAATTATTTCCAAGGCAAGAACATCAGAGAACAGCTGATGACTAGATTCAATTAGCAACAATGACAACGTGGTGAATGGTTTAATGATATAAAGTCAGCCAATCACTAAATCAGTGGACACAAAGGAAATATCACAATCTAAATGATTATGTCTGTGCTTCCACCTTTAATTAAAATGTACAATACTACAATATTTATTCAGAAATTCTATTTTTCTCTCTGTCTCACTTTGTCAATGTTGTTTTGTACCCCACACATCTCTGGGAGTAAATATCCAGTGCATGTTTGGATCCTCTCTGAACATACTGAATACTTTATGGCCATGTAATATAACTGAGTGTTGGAGGGTTACTGAGAAAACAAGCTTATAGTTTATAGAGTTATAAACTGGCCACTTGGACAGGGTATTTGCAGTTTTTTATACAGCTAAAATTCAGACTTTTAAACTTTTAAACTTAACCTGTATACACATGGAACTAAAGATCAACAAAATGCTGAAAACTTTGATTGGAAATATAAATAGAAAAGACAGCAACAGGAAATTAATTATTCAGAAGCAGATGTGATGAAACAAAGTAGCACAACACTGCTGAAAAAATAAGACATCCAACTATGAACTACTATTTTTAAATGTTTCAATTGAAAGTGTGTCATAAATATCTTCGTTAAATCTAAAGTGTAGTGTAGAAATCTTTAAAACGTCAGAAAGAGGAAACCTTAAGTGACTTTACCAGGGCGTTAGTCAGTAAAGCATCTTCAGTAAAAATACAGACCTGAGCAGAAATAGAGGAACAGATTCATCTATTTTGAATGTGTTGAAATGTCTGACCTAGTTAAGGTGTGTTTGATTTATCTTCTCAGGCACTTAAACAGCCTCAGCAATGGACACATTGCTGGAAAGGTAAAAAGAATGTAGTTCACCCTCATGTATATAAAGTGTACATAAAATGTGCCTGTTTCTGTTTACATGTGGTTAAATCCAACT